TGGGCATAACCAAAGGCAAGCCCTGGTTTAAGTAGTTTAGGGTCAATTCGAGCCACCTCACAGGCCAGCTCAGGCTAACTCAGGCTAACTCGGTTTGCAACAAACTTAACACAAGTCCCCCTGGTGGGAGGCTTGCTGGTGTGACTGGCTGGGCGTGAAGCGCCCCCTCCCGCAGGGAGGGACTTGAAACTTAGAACGCTTTTACGGTGTGAGGCAGAAACACGGTTTTGGTGGTGGCAACTTTCCTTGCCCCACCACTCATTCATTATAATGCTATTTTTTTCTCGATTCTAGTAGATGAAAGATCTACATAATCCAGATTTTCCTATATTTTTTTATTTTGAAAAGGTGTGTAATTCTACTTGAAAATAGGCAATGAAGTTCATGATTTTGAACTTTAATTTTCAAATTTGGCAGAGAGGCTTGAGCGCAATCCCAGTATAAGCATATTTTTTGCCTGCAAAATGGAAATTTCTCTTTTTTTTTGTTTGTTTTTTTTAAAAAGATTGGCATGGTGTAAAACTCAAAAAGTGGTTGTAAGACCCTTTTTGCTGAATGGAGAAGGGGATGGTGGAGGTGCAAGCTCTGCCCTTCTATACTATCAGATAACAAGACCCACCAAGCTCAGCCTGGCAAGGTTTAATCAAGTGATAGGGTAAGTTCAGGAATGATTTTGTGTGATGCTGAGAAATGAGTTTAGTTGTTATTGGTGTTTGGTAAGGTTATGTAAAGGTGGTATATCTGTGATTGAGTGGTACTCAACTTGTGACTGATGAATAATACACTGAGGAGACAGCAACTGGGGGAGAGCCTCCTTATATAGAAAATAGTGAGGGAATTTAGCTCCAGGGCAGCCAATAATGAGTCATTTTAGCTGGCCTGGGCTATTACATGAGGGGGTCAAGCTACGTACAGAAGTTGAATGAGTGAATGTGATTGGTCAGATATGTACAAGAGTTGAAGTGGTGAGCCAAACAGCTGAAAGAGTGATTCTGATTGGTCAGGTTATGTGGTGTTTACAAGTAAATGTGGTGGTACCACCTGCACCTGTCATGCAAGGAAAATGCACTAATTTAGACTGCATGCATGAGTTATGTAATATGTAGAAGTGAAATGTAAGGAGTGTAGATGTATGTAAATGAATGTATATGTAAATGGGGGGTTGTACTGTACTGAGGGTGTCTGTGTAGCTTGAGGGTTGTAATTGTGATTGGTGACATGTACTTGATGGGTGAAATACTAGTGATATGTTGTCCATTGTGGGGTAAGAGTTGATCCAGGTGTGTTCCAGTGACACCTCCGTGGTGACCAAGGGTGAATTTGTCTGTAGAGTCCAGTTCTTGAGCCGTATGATGTGATTTCTGAGAGAGATTGGGTGATAATATGAGAAATATATATATAGAAAGAAAGGAAAAACTTCGAATTACCCATTTTGACTACCACATGGATACAATAAAAAAAATGCAGAAAGATCACAAGTGAAGAGAACAAGAAAAAGGCTACAATGGAATTTTGACAAAAAAGGCATGGAAGCCAGAGGTGATAATACAAAAACAGGCCTCAAAAACAGGCCTGCCTCACAGGAGCTTTGAGTAATAATATGTTAGCCTCTCTGACGAGACTGGGCTGCCCGCCCAGACCTGCCTGCAAAAGACTCTCGTCACGAGAGGATTAGTTAAGCTCGGGTTTGCGATTGGGAAGTCATCCAGGCCAACCTGGCACAAGCGCACCATGTAGCCTGGTGCGTTGGGACTTGACGGATGACTGTGGAATGACTTGGTGTATGTGGAATGCTGACAAATGAGAGTTGATAAAAGGATTGACACGGTGTATGTCAAATGAAAATAAATAGATATGAACCAGGTGAATCCTTGATCCAAATCCCCAGCCATTGACCCCAGGAACTAGCAAGGTCGGAACACTACAAGCCGTCCCCAGTTTTTGATTGAAAGGCTGTTTTGTTGGGATCACGGTTTATAACAGAGCACAACCTGTGTACTGTCAGTCTGTCTTGCAGATACCGGAGTGAGATCTGACTTGCCCAACAAGTCCCTCCAAGGAAGACCAAAACAAACTCCTCCATGAGAGTGATTGTGCCAATTTGGTGGCAAGCTTATAAAGCTGTCCAGATTGTGATTGAGGTGTTCAGCTTGGAGATCATCTCCGGCTTCTTCATAATTTGGGGATAAAATCTACCCCAAGCATGCTCTATGCTCATCACCCGGTAAAAGTGGTAGCAGACACTTTGTTCCAATTCAGGATAAACACGTTAGCAAGGAAACAGAGAAACAAAAGATGCAATCAAGCAGTCATGATATCCAGTTGATTTTTTTTCAACAACAGTAACTCAAGGAACATTCAAAACAGGAGAATATATTTGTATTCAAGCAGAAAGACAGTGGGCATGAGTTTCAACTTTCATATCAAGCAGAAAATAAATATTAAATAAACAATATGATCATCCAGTGATATTCTCGACAATATTGAGATAACGTAAGGAAATAATGTGTGTATGGAGAGAGAGAGAGCAAGCAAAAGATGTAGCAAGCAGTATGTAAATTAACTGGCTGACTGAAGGGATGTTTTGCAGATTTGATCTAGCTTAACAAAGCCACTCGAACGGAGGGTCCGGGGGACCCCGCGCGGAGCGCTCTCCGTAGCAGAGGCTTACATGCAACACCTCACCTGCTTGCGGGAGCAGAAAGGATTTTCAGCCTAAAGTAAATGAAAGCTATTTTTAAAAAAAAGTGAGATGTCCGGGTTTTTTTTGGAGTAGACAGAAATGGAGCCTTGATACTTGCACAACTTTTGGCGGCCTTCACTACTTTTCAATCCAAAGTCTGTGGCCTCTGATGCCAAAAGAGCCCTTTTATTGTTTTTTTTTGAGTCCAACACTAAGGTGCAATCCTGTTTTGACTTGGGCACATCCATCTGTGGATGTGCATTGTTCAACATGGATTTGCATGAACTATGAAATTTTGGTATGTGTATGTACATGCTTCCTGGCATGGGTCCTATGGGAGGGAGTTGACCAGTTGACCTTTGTTAGAAGTGGAAGATGGCTGATAGTTGTTTTGTCTGTCATTGCGTATTCAAAAATTCGTGTTTGTTAAGTCCTATGGGAGGGAGGATTGCAAAAAAAAAGTCCCAGACTGGGAGGGGTTCCTCCCAGCCCAAAGACTGTATAGTTTCACGGCCGGGAGGGGTTCCTCCCGGCCTTGAGACCGTACTACTACATGGCTCAAGTGGCTCAAGGCCAAGAGGGGATCCCTCTTGGCCTGTTCTTGTACATACTACTCTCTAGGTTGACGAGGTACATCCTTTTCAACCAGAAGGGGAAACCCTTCAGATGGAAAAGGATGTACCTTGTCCATCGGAAGGAAAGCCTTCTGCTGGACAAGGTACATATACCTCGTCCATCGGAGGGAAAGTGTTCCGCTGGACGAGGTACATGTACCTTTTCCATCAGAGGGAGTACCTCATCCATAGGAGGGAAAGCCTTCCGCTGGACGGGGTAAATTCACCTTGTCCATTGGAGGGAAAGCCTTCTGCTGGACAAGGTACATCCTCTTCCATATTGTACCTCGTCCATCAGAGGGAAAGCCTTCCACTGGACAAGGTAAATGTACCTTGTCCATCGGAGGGAAAGCCTTCCGCTGGACAAGGTACATCCTCCTCCATAGAACAAAGAAGATAACAAAGGAGAAATGGCTAGTTCTTTTGACAACAACCACAAAGAGCTAGAGACAAGAAAGAGAAAGAAGAAATAGAAACAAACAGCAAGTTGGATATGTTTGAGTTCAACACACACAATCAGGAAGAGATAAACAGAAGGACAGTCGTTCTAAATATGAAAGAAAAGAAGAAGAAAAATAAGAACAGAAAATAGAATGTCAGGACAGGATTGAATCGACCGAGGATTGACACTTGTTTACATTACGATCAGAGCTCCCGAGATTCTTGAACGTTTGATGAGTATTGTTTGTCAGGTAAGTAACTATGAAATTTTGGTATGTGTATGTACATGCTTCCTCTGGCCATCACCGACTTCAGTCGACTTGGCTACTAGCTTTGACAAGCTGTTCCTTGGCAAGCAACTCATGAGATGGAGGGAATTCATGTACCCGCAAAAGTAAAGACCTCGACCGATGAAGAAGTCAATTCTTCCTTGTTGCGAGTGGGGCTTCGATCTAGAGGCTTAGACTTAGGACTTGAGGAGAAGTGGTGGTGCCAGGTGGCAGGTTATGGGAACAAGTGCCACATATCAGAAGGTTTAACCTTGCAAATGGATAAACACAAAGGATCCACAAAAAATTTGTTCTTGTGGATCCAGGTTAATCCTGGTGGATCCTTTTTCAAAAAAAGTGATTTTATCAAATTTTAAAAAAAAAAATAAAAATCTCTGCTAGGTGATGAGACAAATCTGACTCGGCCAAGCTGGAGATAACATGCTAAGGATTGAGAAAACGGTTTGGCGGCCTGTGTGATTGGCTGGGGTAGGAGCTATCAAAAAATTAAAAAGGGGGATGTATAATTTTGCGAACTATATTTTACACACCTTAAGGGTTGCATGGCAGATGAGTTGTCAAATTGCATCAGCCCCGGGGGTTTGTTCATCTTTACAACCCACCCACCCCCAAAGGTTGGCCGCAAAAAAAACGTGTGTAAAACCTTACATGTAAAATACCACCCCACCCCCCCATCATGTAATTTCACATTGCATACACCACAAACCTTGTAACACATGGTTGTCATATTGCATACCAGACCCACAAGGTTCATCTTCACAATGCATAACCTCCCAACCCATAAAGCCATGCAAAAAGTTGTTTGAAAATATCTGCATGCACTCTCCATATGCAATTTCACAGTCCTTACTCTCATTACATACAACTGATATGCTTATTCCTCCTACCCATCAACAAGCTCTCCCCCTCGTTTGATTCCTCTTCAAGAACCAAATACTTTACAACACACATACCCACCCAATCACGCGTGTCATGGATCAACCTGATCTTAACAAGCCCATCCAAGAAGACGACGAAGTCAGTGATGACGGGAGCAGCACCGGAGAACAAGCAGGACTGGAATTATTTGAAGGAAGTGATGACGAAACCCCAGCTAACGTACCTGAGAAACGCCAGAAACACTCTGCTAGGCCCATCAAAGACAAAGAGTGGTTTCTCCCCGACATCCAAGGAGATCACCAAACATTTATCGATCATGGATGTTCTCTTGACAAGCAGGGATATCCTTTATATCCCAACGGCAAAACAATTTTTGTATCAAAGCCTGAGGATAAAATCACGAACTTTGGTCAAGTCGGCTTTGTCAAAACTAGTTCCGTCAATCGCCCCCGACCCAACCGACCGTGGAAAGTTACAAGATACTTTTGCCTTGGAGTTCTTGTGTGTGACAACCCGTCTTGTGAATGGGCTGGTCCTCCACCAACTGCAAAAGGCCGAGTCGAAGAATACATCAACTCGTGAGTATCCTTCTTCCATCTCCACTTATTGGCATTCGCTAATATAATCTATATAATCTATTCATGGTATAGGAATCCCACATGTCCTGGCCTTGCTGGGAATTGTAATGGTGTTGTTGAACACCAGAAGTGCACCGGCACGGCCGTTCAATTCGATCTCCACAGTAGCGGTTGGGGTCTTCTCAGACACAAAGGTGTCCATCCACATCCTTGGCCCGCACCCAAAAAGCCCGACCCCCTTTCCCAGGACGAATTCAAAGCTCAAGTTGCGAAAAACCCCAAGGCTGGGGCTTTCAAGTTAAAGGTGAATTGATTCCAAAAGCCCCAGCCTTGCTCCAAAACTGACATCACACGCTTTTTCTAGTTAGGCAAAACAACCCACACCAATACAGCCCTGGAGAGTGTCACCACGATCCATCCAGCTTATCAAAACAAAGATCGGTAAGCTAACAAGCCGTAAGCAGCGCTGGAGAGTGGACCACACTGATGTTTGTTGCTCCTCTCCAGAACTGCTTATTATCGCCGGAAATACCTCGTTGAAATGGACTTGACTCCTGACAAACTCGGTGGGGGGATAGGTGATAAATTCATCTTGCATATGTTTCACTGGAGCGCGTAAGTCCCTCCTTTTTGATTTGAGTTTTGACACCTCCTATGAGTTGACCCCATTCTCCATTTGTTAGTCAGGGCCTTTTGATTATTTTGTCCTCTTTCCTTCCCAAAGCCGAGCACTTCACCTTCCAGACTAAGTGGATGGCCGACCGACTTGTTGCCCAAGATAAAAATGGCCAGCTATACAATGGTGGACTACTCTCAGATGTCACTTATTGGTTTTTCGAAAATGGCTATCTCTTGACAACATCGATGTTTTGTGACGACCTACAACGGTGGATCCCAGTTCAACTCACTTGGATCCGAGGCCTTAGTGACAAGTACTACAAGATACACTTCACCGTTCTCTTCCAACAGCTCTTCAAGCATACCATGACCATGATCGAACGAGAAGGACTAGCCTCACAGGTCGTTGACTTCTCCGCAGCCCAAGCAAACGGATTCATTCAAGCTTACTGTGAAGTGTTCCGTGAGCCAGATGCATCTGTGGCCAGGAACCTATTGAAAGGCTGCCGGGAGCACTATCGGCAGTCAATTACAAGGGTCAAGCGGAATTGGGCTGTGATCACGGCAGATGAGGAGGTATGCTGTATTGTCTGTTGTTTCATTTTACCGCACCTCTTGTCAACTGACTCCATCACTACTTTATCAGGAGCCTTTTCGAAAGGCTTGCATGGACCTACTCACTCCTCCGGCTGCAAATGAGCCTACCCATGAGGAGAAAGTCGATTCGATTCATCGGCGCTACCCAAAGGTGAAGAAATGGCTCGACTGGTGGACCACTGCCGATGTGGAGGCCATGTTATTTCGGACACGCAAACCCCTCCTTGAGGACACTCCCGATGCCCGACCAGAAACAACCAATGGCCAGGAGAGCATGCACAGGCTCTATTACATGATTAGGTGAGTTTTCAGTTGTTTTATGAGGCAGATTAGCCTTCAATGCAGGTCTTGCCCTTGCTTGTGACTGACAAGACCTGCCTGATGTTAGGTGTTGTTAAGCTTTACTCCTTTGTCAAAGTACTGGAGGACGACTGGCATGCAGTCATGCATGGAATCCCCGTCAGCTATGGATCACAAAAGACGAAGGATGTAGGCCTCTCGATGGGATTAGCACCTAAACGTAAGCGGAACCATGAGCCACCAAACGATGGCCGACCACCTGATACGACAGACGCAATGACAAAGCCAGATAAGAAACGAATCAAAATGGGCCGACCACTGAATTCAAAGAACTTCGAAAAGGGCCAATGGTCCAGCTACGCATCTTACCACGCAATCACTAAAAATCCATCAAAGTCCAATCAATGTTGGATGGTGGCCGCCATGGAAAGTCTCTATGCTCTTTTCAGCCCCTTGTGGCTTCGTGGCATCAACGGCACTGGAAACGACCTCTTCACCATCTTAGTTCAGCATTTCAATTCTCGAGTCACCTACGAACTCACGCTTAAAGGAATCATCCGCTCCACACTCACTCGCAATCAGTCTAAGCTGTTTGAGGCCGCAAGTTTGAAATACCCGGGTCAATTTCTCCCAGGAGCTTTTGCGTCGTGCGACTTCTTCCTTGAGGTCCTGTTGGACCCGCAAGCACACAAATCCTCAAAATTTTGACAGCTCTTTCAACTCAACGAACACCGTGAATTCACATGTGAAGCCAAACGTCAAGACAAGCAATCACATCCTAATCGACAGGACCGATTAATTTATGTCTTGACCGTCAGGACCCCCATGTTTGGCGAAAACCGAATCCCTTACAGCAATGTCCAGAAGCTCATCCAGATGTGGCAAACCACTGGAGTTCAAACTCTCTCTGGAATCGTGTGCAAAGAGTGCTGCACATCTAACACCTCCCAGCCTTCGGAACCAAATAAGAACCGTCGAATTAAAAAGGTGGATTTGCAGATAGCAGTCGTCGAACCACTACCAGAACCCTCACAAGCGAATCTCCACTATCTTATCGATACCTCGTTCCTCACTTTTAAGCAAAGTCCCCCACCACTTCACCTCTATTTCCACCTTGACGTGACCACAACCAGTGATAGTCACACTAGGCGAGACTTTGTGGATAGTACAAATTGGCCTTTCCACTTATCTGTTGGGGGGAGTACTTACACCTTGTTCGCCCGAGGATACTATTCTGGGAACCATTACTGGTGCAAAGTCCTGCGTAGTGCTGTAGGTACCATTGGGATATGGCTGCACAATGATGCGGAAAATGATGGATACGCTCGTCTGATCAGCCACGTTCCCAGTTCTATTGCTGGCCCATCCCCCTCCACGAGCTGACTGATGTACTCGCGTTCTTGGAATCCTTCAGAAGAAGAATATGTAGACACTGCAATTAAAAAAATTTCCGCGGACAATCCCAATGCGCCTGGACAAAAACCGTTTATTCACTTGAAGTCGCTTCTGACAGCGGTGGGCCGCTACGCTACACTACGCTACGGGCCCATGTAGTGTTAGCGTAGCGGCGCCATTTTTTTTCTTTTTTCGCGTAGTGTTAGCGCGCCGCTAAGGCCGCTGCGCTACGCTAATTCATAGCGGCGCTAACACTTACCAATTTTTGGTGTAGTGTTAGCGCGCCTCTGGCGCCGCTACGCTGCGTTACGCTACGCTACAGCGTTTTTAGCGGCAAAAAACCGCTAAAATCTGCTGTAGCGCAGCGTAGCGGGCGGTTTTCTGCGCCCTGCGCGCGTAGCGTTAGCGCAGATGGGGGGAATCGCGCTAACGCTACGCTAAACGCTAGCGCAAGTTTTTTCCCCATTCGCGTAGCGTTAGCGCGGAAAATGAGAAAAGCGCTAACGCTACGCTAAATTGTAGCGGTTTTTCGCTACGCTAACGCTACGGTTAGCGTAGCTGGCCCACCGTTGCTTCTGACCATCTCGGGTGATTCCATAAATGACGAAATTGCTGTTTTACCTGCCGCCCTGACGGGCAATCCTCCAGACGCAAAATACGCTGATCATGAAGATGATGGTCATCAGGACGCCCTTTTAGGCAATGCAGATGACTCTGGTCAATTCATGGTGCTTGAAACAGACTTTGCAGACCTCGAGGATGAAGAAAGAAGAATCGCCGATTTGTCAGCCGTCAAAGAAGGTGTAGGTGAACAAATTGAACCAACGAAAGCATCTCAATCTGAATCAGTTCCACCAAACAACCAACATAAGCCTACCAAACAATCAAAATCGAAAAAAAACATCAAAGAAAACGCTGAAACCACGGGAGGAACCCAAGCCTACCAGAAAATTCAAGCCTATCAAACTTGTCAAATCCGAGGTCAAACCAGAAAAAGCAGAAACAGATGTTAAAGAAGAACAGAAGGAAAACAATCCGATCCCACAAACCAACACAGGTTCAATACCACAGCCCGATAAAGATTCAATACCACCCACGGAGGAGGTTAAACTGAAGTTGCGACTCAAGATAATCAACCCATTGAAACCTAACATTCAAACAACCGAGTTAAAACCACCGTCTCAAGACACCAAAGCTCCATCTCAAGATTCCAATAGATTGGATTTTGAGCTTCCCAAGCCCCCTCCCTTACGAAGGTCATCCAGGCAAAAGTAGTCTTTTCTTACATTCTCTTCTTAATATATTCTTTTCCAAATATCTTGTCTAGTCTTTCATTCCGTTTTCTTGTCATCCTCCTCGTATGTATATATGTTTTCCTGAAAAGAGTGGCCACTTAAAAACTCTTGTAAAAATGCATGCACTTGCCCCCCATGAGAATTTCACAACTGTTCCCTAGTGACTCATAATTGTATGTGACCGAAAGGCTTGTGAAATTACATATTCGATGTCTAACGAGATTTTTTGCGACCTATGTTTTGCGGCCGTTTGTGAATTGTTCCGGATTCGCTTGTAAAATTACAAAATGCGCCCACATCATACGTTTTTAATCCCCTTCATTCTTCCAAAACATATCGGTTGGCAAATATGGCGCGCAGATCTACAGCCTTTGGGGTAACTCATTATTTTTGCAATTGATCTTTTGCGCACGAATTTTTTACGAGCGAGAAAAAACAGGCATGTGTTGCAAAATTTCAAAAACGGGAGCACTTATATAATTTTACAACCGATCCAATTTACAAAGCATATGGCTCGTTAAACATGACTCGTAAATTTCTGCCACCCGATTAAAAAGCTGCCCAGCCAAAGTGGACTTTCTGCTCCTGCTTAATTTTTGAGTTCCCCCGCAAGTCCCTCCCCAGCGATCCTCCCACCAGGGGGACTTGTGTTAAGTTAGGATTTGATTGAAAGGTCTATGCAGATCACAGTTCTTGAAGAAACAGAGCATGGTAACAATTCTCGACTGAGTGCGCGTCAAGATTATTCTTGAATGACATCACGAGACAAGGCCTCTTGGAAGCGAGAGACAGCATGAACCCAATGAAGCTTTCAAATCATTAGACCAGAGTGTGAATTGGTCGAAAAATGACAAATGGTCGGTCTCATGAGTCCAAGGAACGAGATGATTAGACAGGAGGAGTAAGGTTGATTCGAGATTCTCCGTGTGCCGAAAGAGGCGCATCCTAACAGATCCATCAATCTAATTATATGATTCTCTGTAGATCTTCATCAAGCAAACACATTGACCAAGTAAGTCGCCTAGTTCAGATGTATTCAGATTTCGCGTCTCGGCTACTAATCTAGAGAATCTGAAATGTATTAGAGCTTTCAAGAGACGGTTGGTATCATTGTTGATAGAGTCGGGAGAAGCGGAAAATTCCTCAGAGAAGCAGTTGAGAGTGCCCATATGTCCATCCAAATCGCTCAAGCATTCAGCAATATTGATAATGATTATTGACATCGATTCCAAGTCAGGTTTCCGTGGTGTTCGGGTGCTACTGTCTAGAATGGACGGCATCAAAAAGCTCAAGATGCTCTTCCAGCTGGTCCATATAGTGGTGCCAATGATAGGACTCCTCAAACATCGGAGCATTCAGGCAGTACTTCACTAAAGTGCGTAACAGATTGATTGCCGCATCTATCATTTAAAAAAATTGTAGGTGTTCGCCCCATCAGTCACCTCTTTGCGCACATGCTTCATTCAACGGTGCAACGAGTCCTATACGCGTATTGTATAGGCATATACAGCGTATTGCACTTTGTCAGGAGTACATGTATTTTGAAATACATGTATTGCCTCTGCTGGCAAATACAATACAAATACATTGTATTCATTTTCTAGCCTATACAATACAAATACGTTGTATTTACAAATACAGTTTTGGTTGTATTCCCTTCAAAACCCCTTTTTTTCTTTTTTTTTTCTTCTCTTTTTTTTCTCTTTTTTTTCTCTTTTTTTTCTCTTTTTTTTCTCTTTTTTTTCTCTTTTTTTTCTCTTTTTTTTCTCTTTTTTTTTCTCTTTTTTTTCTCTTTTTTTTCTCTTTTTTTTCTCTTTTTTTTCTCTTTTTTTTCTCTTTTTTTTCTCTTTTTTTTCTCTTTTTTTTCTCTTTTTTTTCTCTTTTTTTTCTCTTTTTTTTCTCTTTTTTTTCTCTTTTTTTTCTCTTTTTTTTCTCTTTTTTTTCTCTTTTTTTTCTCTTTTTTTCTCTTTTTTTTCTATTTTTTTTCTATTTTTTTTCTCTTTTTTTTCTCTTTTTTTTCTCTTTTTTTCTCTTTTTTCACCTTTTTTCACCTTTTTTCACTTTTTCTTCACTTTTTTTCACTTTTTTTTTCACTTTTTTTCACTTTTTTTCACTTTTTTTCTCTTTTTTTTCAGTGTTTTTTATAATTAAGGCCCAAAATAAAACAAAAAGGGAAAAAATTACAAAATGAAAAATAAAAGTTGGAAAAAGAGAAAAAAAAGAGAAAAAAAAAGAGAAAAAAAAAGAGAAAAAAAAGAGAAAAAAAAGAGAAAAAAAAGAGAAAAAAAAGAGAAAAAAAAGAGAAAAAAAAGATGAAAAAAAAAGTGAAAAAAAGTGAAAAAAAAGTGAAAAAAAAGTGAAAAAAAGTGAAAAAAAAGTGAAAAAAAAGTGAAAAAAAAGTGAAAAAAAAGTGAAAAAAAGTGAAAAAAGGGGTTTTAAATCTGTAATGAAGTTGAAGCTGGGATCTGCAGATACAAAATACATGGGATGTATTGTAGCTGACTCTGCAATACATTTATTTGTATTGTACTCAGAGTGCAATACATAAATAAAAAATACATCCGTATTGCAGCTGCCTTCAGCTACAATACAAATACATGTATTGCCTATACGTTTTGGTGCAATACACACCCACTAGAAATACATGTATTGGACTCGTTGCACCGTTGCTTCATTGGATTCGGATGAAGCTTTTTTGTACGACTAACCGATCGGCGAATCTTCGTCCAGACGCATGATGTTACATGGGAGGATTTGGTTCCAGAAATCCAATGTGCATGCACATATGAAGCTTGCTCTCCTTGTCTTGCATGAAAAGGCATGTGTGTATGTATTTCCGGAGAGCTTTCAAAGAACAGAAGGATGACATTGCAACTTTGAAAGAATTCGATGGGGTTTGTGTTTTTTTTTTGCTTTTTTTCTTAGTTTTTTCTTCTGACAACAATCCACAAGAAAGAAAAAAGGGTAGGGGAGGAAGAGAAAAAAATGTTTACAAAAAAATACTCAACTAAATCACAAATGAAATGAGAAACAAAAAAAAAGGAAATGAACTAGTCGAGGATGATGAATCAAAGAGAGTTTGTGAAAAGCAATATGACAATTTGATGATAACAGCGGGGCAAAAGGCTGATTTTTGGGGAGGGGGGGATTGGGGGTTTCAATCAGCCTTGCAGGGGACGTTGGAGGCGAGCCCGAAGACAGAGCCTAGTCCGGGCGACTTGATATCAGGCGAGCCAAGGCCGACAGCAGAACTGAAAGCCTTCGACATCTGCGGAGAGATCGGGCTGAAGCTGATCGCCCCTCGGGCGTGCGAGGCTCGGTAACTCTTGTACGAGAAACCGATGATGCCGAACAAGACTGCCCAGAAGAATAACCAATGAGGCGCAAACAGATGCTACATTGTTTTTTTTTTTTTTTCGTAAGGAATTGTCGTCAGTTTTTTTTTCGTGTTTTGGTAAATATCAGACAAGGGAAAAATTGAGCACTTACACCGTATGCATTTTTGAAGTGGAAGATTTTCTGTAAGGGAATGAAAGAAGACAAAAGCATTAACGAATCATAGGTCTGCACAAAGGATGGAACGGGGAGAGAGACAAAAAAAAAGACAAACCCATTTCATTCGACTGACGACTGTCCCAGCCAATCTGCCAGAGAGTTTGCCCATCTCAACTGCCAATAGGGTCTGGAAGACAGAGGAAGGTTTGAATTCGATGTCTTGCCCGTTTTCTTGTCTGTCGAAATAACGATGGTGCTTGGCGTCGACGATGATGATCATGCTCGATTCCCTGGGATCTTCGGTAGGCCTGGGCAGGTTGACGCCATAGGAGTGCTAAATAATTGTAACACATGTCGACCAAGATTTCGAGTTAGCAAAATGAGAAACAAAACTGAATGAGCAACTCAGATGGGGGGACGTACGGCGAGCCAATCCGCCCAGACATCACTGTTAACCCAGACCCAATCGACGCTCAAGTCTTCGACGCCCCGGGCTTCCTGACTCTTACGCCACTGAATGGCCCAATCCTTCATTTCGTCCTTCAGCTCGACCGACCTGGGATTAGACCTTTCGAGATTGATGCCGTCGCGACTGGGAACGATCCCGCTGATACAGGCAAGGACAACGAGCTTCTTGGCGCCAGAGTTGAGCACCCGGAAGTAGTTTCGTTGGTCGAGCTCGTCAAGCACCGGAATCGATTGGACAGCGATCCAATGGCGGAGGTCCATCGTGAGCTTATGGTGTCGGAGAAGCGGGTTCGGCTCAACCTTGGGTGACACCTCTTCCAAAACTAGCTTGGCCCATGGCTTCGACTGATATTCTTTGAACACGAGCAGGTATGGATGGTAACTCGACAATCCCAACTGTTCGTAGATATCTTTGTGGTCCGACTTGAGGATCACCGCTGAACCCAGTAAACTTTTACCAACAGTTTGGACAGCATTCTAGCAAAGAAAATGTGTGTTTCCCTTAGGCCTCTACACCAATCCCATGTGGCTGTATATAAGGAAGGACACTTACAAGAATCGAAACCTGGGTTCGGCTCGAGTGTAGGAATAGGAAAAAGATGTTCTTGGCTTGAATTGCGTGCTCCAACTCACGCATGCTGATCTCGTGAGTGCCCGGGCTGATCAAACACCCAATAAATTAGCTATTGACGCGATGACCGGGAACAAAGATATAGGCCAGAGTGGGCCAGACATTAACAATACTCACGTAGCGACGGCTTTGCGAATATACTCGGCCATTTCGACAGCCTCTCGGCGCCCTGTGTAGCCGAGTCGATTTCCTTCTTGAACGCTGGTTTAACATGTAGGGAGACATAGTCAACAATTAAACCATGTGCCATTCACTTCGGTTGCAGGAAGTTTGAAAACAAGGGCTCACATGGCAAAGGTTGGGAAATTTGTGACATGTTGGCTTTTGCAAAACTTCTTGTTCCATTTGGCTTCGCAATCAATCTCCCCTACATTTACTTCGCCCTTCAATAGACGTGCGGTTTCTTCCCAGACTAGATAAGGCCAAGAAAAAGGTTTAAAACCGCGGAAGGAGTTTGTTAGCATCTTAGTCTCTAGTCTGAATTCAGTTTTTCTTTTTGTTTCCTGAAAAGAAAAGGCAGGGAGAGAAAGGCGGGACTGACCAGGAATGAGATCGCGGCACTCTTTACACCAAGCAGTGTGACTAGATTGTAGAACAAGGCACGCGGGAAGGGTTAGCCATCCACGAAGTGTGACGGAGGAAAGAAAGTAGGGACAAGACGACGACGAACTACTGGATGAAAATTGGGTGGGGTGTGATGGTGGGGTCAGTGTATTGATTCCAATTGTCCGCGTTGAGGGTGATGACCCAGCCGTTTGGATTAGGAAGCTCAAGGGGGGTATCAGTGGGGGTGGGAGGGACAGGCTGGAGGGTAGGATCCTCGGATTCGGGAGGCGGTTGAGCTTGAGGGACGGGCTCATCGGAGGCGTATGTCTCGGGTGATGGCGCGGTGCGGTAGGACTCGCCATAGTGTGACTCGCCATAATGTGACGGGTGATGGCCCGACTCCGAACCGGCCGGTTTCCGATACCCTTCAAGCTTTTCTACCAAGTACTTTTTAATCGGTTCAACAGACTTCTCACCGGCTAAAATGTCAAACGGCGTGGAAAGAGGTTAGCTCTCCACCCAGTGGCCCCGCTTCTACGAGTCCCTGAAGAGACGAAAGAAAAAACTAAACTGTAGGAGTCTTTCTCTTTCCCGTCCTCATAGAGCTTCATCGTTGGGTAGGAGCTAACGCCCAATTGAACGCAAAGGTCTCCTTGCGCAATACAGTCCACCTGGCCCATCTTCAGCCCCTCTGCTTCGTAGTCCTTCATGTGTTGAGCCAACCTGCAGCCCAATAAGATGAAAAAAACGTCAATTAAACGTGACTTGACTGGAACAACGAGGACACGGATGGCGAAATGCCGACGCACTCTATCCATGTTGGAGCAAAGCGTTTGCAGCCTGCACAGAATGGCCTACAAGTTAAAGGGGAAAAAAATTAGTTGGCGGAAAATTGACATATCCACGGAACAAGTTATGAAGCAAAGAAAGCAATGCACGAGTAAAATTCGAGAAACCTATTGGCAAATGATGTTGAAAAATATTGGGTCAGGTCATCCGGGTCAACTTACAAGCGACTAACGGATTTAAGACTTACCATAATCCATGCTTCGTGAGGGAGTCGAAGTTGTTTTCATTGAGCTGGACGCCTGCGTGAAGTTCGACCGCTAGCGTGATAGATGAGAGGAAAGTGATAAGATGGCAGAATGAGTTGAGTAGCTTCATGATAGCTCTTCTTGCTCTATTCCACTGGCCTGTGAGTAGTGAGTGAGATGGGTGAATGGGACACCAGGGTGGAAGGGGAAGGGCTCTTTTTGTATTGCACGGTCTTCATATCCCAGGATTTTCATCACCAACCGTCATCAGCACAAGTCTCTCTCAATGATCAGAACCAATTGGAAATTCAATCGGGATGGTTTAATAATTTATCAAATTGAGCTTAACAAGCTGCGATAGGAGTGGCCATGTTCCCAGAACAACGATGCCATCAATGGTTACGGTATCGTCGAAGCATGCCATGCACACCGGGATGACACTCAGAATGAGATCAAGATCATGATCTCAGCCGGTGGTCCGACACATTTCTCGGAGTCCCGTGGCTCGGGATGACGGTCAAGACTGTCGCCGTGTTTGTAGTCACCCTGAGGATTCTCATTCCGCCACTCCGAGAATCATTGCTCGCATTTTGAAGACTTGCCCTTGAGATGATGCATGTGTAGTGCGGCGAGATGGCGAGGGCAGCCTCTGCCCGACTGTGTACTCAACCCTAACTGATCTTTTGAAGCAGGCTGGACTTCGTGACGCCTCAGCGTTGCTCAGTGTCACAAGCTCGAGGAACTTGGTAAGGTTGGCATGTTATCTGTCAGCTGCAACTGTCACCGCCAGCATCAAGCCTTAGCAAACACTCACTGGTCGGCACGAGACAGCGGGCAGCAGCCACACGGTCCTCGCCAAACCCCACACCCACACCCAATCCGACGAGTTATTATGTTACTATAGTGCGTCCAATGTTACTTGCTCCGGGCACTCGATCATTCGACTTTGAGTCGATGTATCATGGAAAGCTAGCAGCAAAAAAAGCAACACGGATTGTTTTGAATGCGGGGGTTCATCTTGCCAAAACCGGGTTTCCTTTGGGTTCCCTAACCGTTGTAACTTGTAGTTCTTTGGGTGCCAGACAAGGCGGGACCGATGCGCTGACCATATGTATGTTTTGCGTGAGGAAGGGGATCTTGTCTACCGAGGAAACGTTGCAATTTTCTTCCGAATATTCAATCTGGCCGGACAGCCGAAGCTTGATGAGTTAATTCGAGACGATAGTTTCGGGCGAGCTATGCATCCCTCACAGTTTGTCTCCGAGTGCCACTTGGCATTACCAGCCTGTAGAACGTTGATTGGGCTTATGTCAAAACAGCGCTTGAGCAAGTTCAACATGCACAAGTATTCGATAAGTGGTAGGAGCATTCAAGACATGAAAGCGGATCAGCTGACTATCTCTATAACAAGCGACTGAGTTGGCCTGAAGCGTCGATGTACTCGAACTTCACCAAGCCTCTGGGTGGAGAGGGCCCCGCAGGATGTTTATCAAGTTAGGATATGTCCGTGAGCAAACCGTTGCCCAAATTCAGTAAGCAAGTTGGTACCACGCTCAGGACCTTATTGACCCAAAAGAAACGCTGTAACGCAAAAGTTTCCACCTCGGCCGGCCGCCTGTCGCCTTGAAGCACGCTGACCAAAAAGTGCATACCACGTCGTTCGTCCAAGAGCCTTTGATATGCCATTAGGGCTCTGCCCTCATCTCTGGAGAAGTAATGCTTGTTGACAGTTTCTCTGACTCCGACAGGCTGATCGAGCTACATCAGAAGATTGCAATTCAGATTGATGGGGTGGACTTGAGACAACAGTCGGGCAGCCAAATCTCCGATACATGATCGAGAAATATTTAAGCCGACCTGAATCAAGGTGAGACTGAGAGAAAGGTAGAAAAAGTGGGAAGCGGGAAAATGTCTAACCGGGCGTTTGAGGTTATCTCCCCTTGGCAAAAACATTTTGACTGAAGCTGTTGCCAACTCCAGTTTTCCATTTTATCCTAAAGCTCATTCATCCATTCTATCCACTGAGCTTGTCACATTAGCTGGGATTCCCCCCTGGATCAAGACACCACGCTGGCGCTCGCTCAAGTGGAGGTCCAAAATCCTGGTGGCTTGCGCTCGACTATGGATCAATTTGTTCTACCGGAGTGAACTGACATATCAGTATTGTTACTGAATTTGCGCGGAGCGGTTTGGTCGCAAGTCGGCTCAAAGTGGAGCTTATTCCAGGGTGACAACTGCACCTGCCACCAGCCTCCACTTGTATGCTGGAAAGCCGTTTGGGATAAAGTATCCAATCGCTTGGCTTTGCGAAGATTAACGAGAATGAGGCGGCATTCATCCAGGTTGGAGACGAAAATGGATGGTTTGACATGAGTGCACATGCCTCGCAAATCTTACATCTCTTGTTTCCCCCTCAATCTTCTCATGCTGTTGAGTAGCAGTGGCACCATTCGCCACGTTTGTTTCAGCCTCTTTCACCGGATTTGCCACTAGTATTTCTCGGTTGGTGAGATCACGTCTTCTACTTCACTGTCAGCTCGTGCTCTTGCGTTAATTTCAACTCGTTCAACTTCCACAAGTTGGCCACAAGCATCCTTTATCTTGTAGGTAAAACCTCAGGCACAACACAACTACCCAAGCTTTCGCTTATTTTTCCCTCTTTGCCGAACAATTTACACCATTTCACTCTTTTGAACTACCAACTCCATTTAGAAGCATTCAGTCTGCGTCAGTGTCATTCTATTCGATTGTGCCGCCTTGAAAAACTCACTCAGGTCTCCCAGATTCAATCCCCATTTGCGTTTCTTTGGGTACTGACATTGAGCTATTCATATTTACATCCAAGAGCAGTTGGGCGAAGTTTCCGCTGAACAGTTCAATTGGACACAGTTGTAATCGCATTAATGGCCTACCTTCAGGAAGCCTATCTGCTCGTGGAGCCTGGTGATCACGAAGTTTCTAAACATGACCGTGCTCATCATCGGATGTATAACAGCAACCACTTAGCTTCCAGCAGTCAGCACGAGACATCTCGAATCCGGCGGTTGTTGAAGAAATCAGCTCCATCTCGACGTCCTACTGTGGAGAGTGATCCAGACATTAACCCGGAGTTACCCGTCAAGAGTCCGCTTTCTCGGGGTCACGGCGCATCTGCTGTTGGGCATGAAACTGGCCTTGATATCAAACCTCTTTCAAAATCGTTAGGACAACCCTTGTCACGGCTAACGCGCTCTGCTTCTCGTCGAAGCCTCGTTGGAGTCGGCGGGCGTTTCATACCAGATAACACTTTAGCCGACAATGGGCCCTCCATTAAGCGGGCCGTGACAGAAGCCAAACAGGGGTCACCGCCTGCAACAGAAGAATTATCCTACAATCATCTTGATCCCAGTACCTCGGCTCCTTCGGAGTTTCCCTTCAACACCGCTCCGCCATCTCAATCCACCTTGTCCCCACCAGTATTGGGAAACACCAAGCGCAAGCCACGCTTAAGCATCTCAAAAAACATGATTCAATACTGTCTTTCTACTCCCAAACATTCCCCTCTCGCATGGCCTCCCATTCAGAACGGCGCCTCGCAAATAAGTCTTCACTCGGCTGAGTCGGAGGCTAACTCAGACACGGGTCCACTCGCATCTCCAAAAGAGTCTCATCATGGATCAAAATTGATATTCAATAATTTCAGGAAATTGACTCTGAATTCCAAGAGAAGTCCCGTTGCAAGCAGTAAATCGTGCTTGCCGGCAGACCTAACGCCGCATCAACCTTCGTTTTCGGATGCCCTGCCCCTGAGTCGGACCGACGCGGTTCGCAGACAGGATCATTCAAATGAAGCTCTTGATCACACATGGTTCAGTAAGTCTCGAGGTGAAAGATACCATCCCCATTTGCGGAATGATGTGCCATATTGGATGTCATACGGACCCGAGATCATGGACTAGTTGAGTTTCGTTTTTGCCTTGCGAGAACAGGTGTATCATCGGGTCTCACGTCTCCAGCGGCTCATTCCATGCTTTTTTACCGCAGTCACATCTTGATGCAATATTCATCGGCAATTCTACAGGGCACCTCACCGTTTCAGTTAATGGCTTCACCGCCGGAAGCAGATAACTCCAAGAGAGAGATTCGAAAAGTTCTGGACATCGGGTGCGGTCCTTCAGCCACGTGGTGCGTGGGGGTCTTGAGGGAAACTAGCGAAGTGGAAGTCGTTGGGCTAGATATCTGCCCGTTGTTGCTCAATTTAGATTGTCTGGAGAGACGCGTCTCGGAAAATCTTTCTTTTGTCAAACACGACTTTTCGGATTGCACGCTACCTTTCGAGACTGCAGTGAGTAATTTTGAACCTTGAAGTTTTTTTTTCCCTCACAACGCTGACTAAAGGCGTCTTTATCAAAATTCAAGAGCTTTGACTACGTCCACGCCTCCTTTGTCGCCGCTGGCATTCCCGAGCATAAATGGCCATCTATGCTGGAAGAGATGACTCGGGTACTCAAGCGGCAAGGAACATTAGAGCTTCTGGAGTGCAACACATTGATCGCCGACCCCATTAAGGCGAAGGACCCCACTTATCTCGATGATGGAAAGACCCAAGGGACTAGTTTTTGCCGGGTTCCCACCGCCAGTGCGTCAAATCAATTGAGCGTAATGCCACGTGAGACAGAATTGCTAAAGGAATCGGTGTCCGAGGTTTACCCTACAACTGTCAAAGAAATGGTCGATAAATTGCTTGAAAGCCATTTCATCTCGCCTTATCCTCTTTCGCTCCTACCCACTGAGGTTTCGAACTTAACGACTGCCATGAGAAGACCGCTGGCCAAGAAGTTCATCAGATTTCCTAGTGATCTTCAGAGTTTTGTTGATACTCAGACGAAATCGCCAGACAGAGCACACACGTTTATAGGAAATGACAGTCAACAGCTGGTAGCGAAAGATGACCCGATCGCCAAAGCCGCTGCAAATGAGTGCATGGGGATGCTGCTACTGCACTCCCACATCAATGCTATGTATTCCAATAAAGAGATAAGCTGGTGCGACTTGTGGCTGCCCGCCATCCATTGCGAAACTACTGGCATGCATGTACCACACCCCTTAGTCAAGCGCACAAGACCAACACCAAGTCGTATGCCACCCCATTTTGGTTTACATTTGAATCAGAATCGACGGACCAAGTCCAACAGCCCGATCTACAAAGTGAAATCTGAGCATTCCGATCAATCAGTGTTCGAAACAACTTCCGACAAAGCCGAAGCTTCTAACTCCAAATCAATTTTTACGCTTCACGAAGGCCAAACGAACTCCCACGAAAATGTTAAATCCATGTCCCACTCAAACTTGAATACTGATGCCCTCGCAGGGAACTTTAATCTCGACTTACCTCTCGACCCGAGAGACTCGGTCCAGCATCAGCATGAGCCCGAAAAGATGGATATAGATTCTCTGAGAGTTTCGCATTCAATCATTTCGCCACACCGGAAGAAATTTGATCAAACCTGGAACAAGTGGAAAGACGACTTGAATTGTCATTCGCTTGGGATAAGCAAACTATTAGAGTTGAGGTTTGGTTGGACTTGTACGATGGATCTCGAGAATCACAAAGCACTGTATGAGCATTACGAGTTTTATCAACAGCAACTGGCCCAATGTGAATCCCGCATTGCCGAATTGCGTCTGAAGTTACAGGAAATCAAATTTGTCCATGTAAGCATAAATCTCGACGCAGTCATTTCACCTGTTGAGAACCAAACCATCGTCCAAAGCTGATGTTATTTTTTCTTGTAATCTCCAGATAGACGAACTGGAAGCAAGCTTAGATGAAGACCTCCATTCAAATCCTCCGTCCTCGGTTCGTGGTGCATCTCCGGTCTATACCCACAGGCCACATTCATTTGAATACGAGACTTCGTCTGAAGGCCACGAGGATTTTGAACATATCAACTTTCCTAGAAACTCCATCGGCGGCTCATCACATGACACGGCTACCTCCACTGATCCCAGGCAACTGATGAGCTGTTCCGAAAATCCAATTTTAGGCTACGGAAGTAACGTCGTCCACCATGAACCTGACTCACAATTGTTAGAAGAACTTGGGTTCGACATACTCAAAGAAAATTCTAACATGAGGCCACGCACACGCCACTCATCAGGAAGTACAGGTCGTATCCCTGCTGGTCTAAAAGATGCGCGGTCGTTGTATAGAAAGAGTAGTGTCGCAGCATTCAACCGACACCAAGCGGAAAGCGATAATGAAGAAGGATTCATGAGTGACTCTCCGATATCCTCAAAGGTTTTCTTGTCTAGTTCGAAGGTTACTTCCAATCACATTCATTCCAAAGGACGGGAAACCGATGTTGATTTGGAGACGGAAATCGAGAGCTTGACTCGGCAAAAAGCCGAGATCAAGAAGGCAATCCAGCTGATTCAGACTGATTTAGACAACGTCACCAAGCGACTAGGATTACTTGACCCGGAAGACTATCAACCCCTTGCGACCTCAACTGCTGCTGTTGCGCAGGTTTCAAAACTACCCCTAGCAGGAGAGACAGATCAACATCAGGTCGCTACTCCTGAGAACTGCGACAAGAGGTCAGCCCCTGCCGCGAGAGAGATCTCTTCCGCTCCGTCAGATGAGGCAAAAGAATCCAGTGCGAAAATCACGACAAACCCCAAAGGTTCGACACGGGATGACAAACGAACGGAAAGTGGCATGATGAACGATCTATTCTCGCCTTTTGATAAATTGGAGTTCGCCAGTTTCCTTGTTGATGATTGCTATAAACCAGCGTCTCTCTTGGGTCAATCAACACAACATGAGGCTAACAAAGAAACCAATGAAGATCTCACGAGCCGGATTTCGATCTTTAATCAAAACAATCCTGGTAGGACATCGAACCTCAGTCATCGACATGTCAAGAACGCGAAGGACCTGAGATTTACGAATGTTGGTTTTGGTGATCTGAGAATTGAGTACGTTCTCCTCAGACTAAGCCTATTTTACCCAAGCGATTGCACATTGTTGAGGAAAGAAAATCTGACAATTTTTGTGTTCCTCCCATCTATGACGTGCTTGGTAACAGAAAATTTTATTCTGTAAAAAAGATTTGAACTGTTGTCTCCTCAGATTCTTTCGTTTTTACCTTTAATACAGCGGATGTGTGTGCGACTCTCTAGGCTTGCATTTCACTCCTTTTAGTAAGATTCTCATCTTTTTTATAGAGTGTTTGTAAATTACTGTCATTCTTTATCATAAACACAAGCTATCAATTCACAATTTTAAAGGCGTACCATTGTATATAATAAGTGTAATGGTTAAAGCTATCATGTATTTCAATTTCTACATAATCTATTTGTAATAATCCTTTGTTGAGCCGATGATGTACATATAAAATGATGAAAAACAGTTGTGGTGGTATATTGTGCTCCCAGATGTTCCTCACAAAGCCTTAGGAGAGCAAGCACCACATGTCAAATCATTACTCAAAAAATGGGAAGTTGAAAAGTTTCCGGTTGATGAGGCTAGCTGAATCAATTCCCTGGGATAGTGTTTGCCTTTCAAAAACAGAGGGACTTGGTTAAGCTAACACGGTGCGGAGTTGATTGATCTTTCATGTGATGTGACACCCAGACTAAGTCAATGGGGTTGCATGCACAGTCACTGTGCAGCATCTGCAGTCACTGCTGATGAATTAGTCCGGGTGTCGCAGTTTTCTGTGCGACACCAAACTCTTCACCGTGTAAGGCAGGGGGCTGTGTTCACCCAGCTCAAATTGTCTTGATTTCAAACCAGGCAAAATCTCATTTTTTTTCTCTTTGTTTGAAAACCAAGAAGCTGGTTACCAGATCTGCTTTGAGCTCTCCAATATCATTACGATTCCATATAAATGTGGGAGGAGTTCAGGAGTAATGTGATTCAGACGGAGGAATCTGTCTTGGAAAGAACCTCCTGGTTGGCTGATTGGGAAGTTTTTTTTGCATGTGTTTACAGCTGTCATGCATGGGCATCATCTTATGGAAGTATTCAAAAAACATAAATTTGAAACACTCTATCACTGCAAGAAAAATTTGTGCAACTGTGCGCAGTTGACATGTGATATGTGCCTTTGTAAAATCACATGTCAACTGCACACAGTTGCACAACTTTTTTTTGCAATGTATCTCAATAAATTATTTGGGATGGGAGCTATGTACTCATGAGGAGAATTCTTGTGAGTTTGGGGGTAGGGGAGCATTCTTCTCATCTAACTTGTGCCAAATACCGTGCTTCTGTAGGCCTGGTGACCTGGGCTGGCTGGTGCCACTTGCAAAGCAAGATCCCCAAGGAGGGACTTGTACCTAATACACATTTGCTGGCTTGTTGCTATAAACATGTTTTGGTGTATCAATTATTGGATTGGCCATCCCAATTTTGATTTAAGTTTGTTTGGGGGCAGGGTCACCTTATTGGTCAAAGTTGAGCATGTTGCCAATCTTATCAATTTTTCTTTGAAAAACATAAAATATTGAAAATTCAAAAGGTCCAAGTGAATCTCAAAAACTTGAGAAGCTCATTATATAAGCAAAACACAGACATTTCAGGTGAATCTCATTGATTGATAAAATTTATATAGCTTGTTGTTGCACATTCTTTTGGATGATTTGTTGAAAAAAGATTCCTTGAGCATCTTGAGCACCCTCAGCTGTATTTTATCTATGGGAAACCTCAACTCTGCTCTTTCTATTTTTTTAAGTGCAAAAAACAGGCAAAAAAGCGGATTTGAACCTCTGAGTGTGTTTATTTTGGGCTCAAGCCTCTCCTGCACTTTGTGCATTCAGCAGAGTGGCTGATCAAGCCAGTCCTCTCATCCAAATATTTGAATCTCAGAGACTTTCCAAAAGAACTCCTTGGAAGATACTGGAGGACTTCCTGTTGCCATTTAGAGTGCTTGTTAAGTCCTCCCCAGTTCTAAATTAACACCCCAATCATAATTCTAACCAGCTCACATGAGAGCTATCTTCACAAGACTTGTGAAAAAACAATTTTTTATACCCAAAAGTAAGATCTAGGGGGTGTAAATTGAATTCTGGGAGGGTTGTAAACCGCGAGGGGAAGTCATCCACTGGTGGATGCAAGGGTGTCCTCATCCAAAAGACAAGAAACTTATCATGTGCAGACTGCATGCTTATAATTTGCAAGTCCCTCCAGACTGGAAGCTGGGTCTAAATCTGATTCAGTAGGGTCTACAGATGCTGAAGGGAAGTTCTCCATGTGCCAGATAAGAGCACCTCCACCACTGTGGAGTGTTAAATGCCGGCGTAAAACTTGCGCAATGCACCGGGAGTTTTGATTTCCGTTTGCATCCCTGGGTGGGGCAGTGTTTTTGGAGCGGGGAGTATAAAGGAGGTTTACAGCTGCGGTGGAGTTGCTCCAAAACGCGCTCCTTATAAGACCTTCTGGGCCACAGCTTGGATCAGCTGCAACCGATCAGATCCCCACTTCTGGTTTCTCATCATCCACGGGGACTGCTCACGAAGAGTTTGCTGGGAATCGAAATTATAGTATACTTGTTCACTTCATATGACCAAGGACCCCAATAATCACAAACACCCAAGATCAGATGGCGGACCAACAACAAGACCAAGAGGTGGAAGTGGAACCGTATACAGTCAAGATTATGTCGCCTGATGACCTATTTAGGTGAGCGAGCAGCCAATTGATCAGCCTACATGTAATAGAATTGAAACTATGCAAAACAAGTTATAACCATATTTTAAGATTCCAAAAGTTCTGATACATACTTCGGTATTTTTTGGCTTCCAACAGATCTATTTCTCAACGCGCATACGCAATTAACCGAGCTACTGAAGCAAAAGATTGATGAATTCTCGCGGGCGACGGCAAGAAGGGAAGAAAAGAAGGTCACGATATCGGAGTTCCAGAATATTGTAGACGGAATCAAGACGATTCTTGCAGGATCCATGTCAGCAAAAGTACATCGACTGTGCGATCTGTTATCCGATTCGATCTATCTTGACAAAATCGACACTCCTCGGCTCCAAGACGGGATCAAAGTTCTGAAAGAACTCGAAGAGAGTGTTGAACAACTATCCACTTTAATCGCCTTGCTCCGGGTACCCAATCACTATCAATTCTTTCGAAACTACGAGGGAGGTGAAGAAGGATTAAAACGCTATAAATCTGCGCGGACCCAATCGAAACTGATCGATTTGTTCTCGAACCTGAACAACCTACTTCAAACTTGTTCTGATCTCCTCCCGATACCTGGTC